AAATAAATAGAATTTAGAATTTAAAGACACTCAGCTATGTATGTTTTGCTCCAAATTCCCTAGAACACTGGTAACACCATGCTACACCAACCCCCTATTTTTATGTAATGAATGGAACCTATTCCTCAAACAAAACATGACATTTTACTCTATCAACATATGCAGTTATTATAAATCAATTAAAAATAAAACTTCTTAAAAAGTAAGAAACTCTGAAAGGTTTCCTTTTTTTTTTTTTTTTTAGGAAACCTGCCTAGGAAAAAAGGATTGTGAGTCTTACAAAACAAGTTCCTGTGCATCATACTATCTTTTAACAGGTCTTTGTTTACTTAAGAAAATTGAGTCCTCTCCATTAAAAGAACTAAGGTTTTTCTATATTTATGTAACTTTCTGTATCTGCCCATAAAATGTTTTGTCTCTCTGTACAATTAAATATTGTTTCAGAGTGACCTGTGGTCATATTTAATCAAGTGTCTTAAAGACATTTTTGACCACTTCCCAAAATCAAATTCTAATTTAAGCGACTTTCATCTTGAACTAACTGTGCGATGTCCCAAAAGGCCTCTCAATTATTCCAAAAGAATTTTTTCTCTTTCCTTATAAACAGAGAGATATAAAACCAATTAGGCTTATTTAAAATGTTATATTTGCATGGGAAATACTGTCAAATGAGAAATGATCTTTAATATTACTTGAGATTTTTAATCGCTTGTAGATTTATACATATGGTAAAATATGTCCTTACTGATAATTATTTAAACTAGTCTTTTATAAGCTCTGTGCTTTGTGAATAATGAAGCTGCTATCATAAAAAGTAGTAACTTCCATTTGCTGTAATGGTGAACTAGATAGTGCAAATGACTGTAACCTAACTAACTAGAAAATCCTGACAAACATTTTGTTGTTTTTGTTTTTAACTACTATTCAAAAGCATCAGAGAGGTAATATGACAGGGTAGTTACCTAAGGACCAGGAACGTAAGTTCAGGATCTGAGGCTTTAATTAATTCTGGAGAAGGCAGCTGAAGTTATTGTACTATTCCAATTACCAAAGCTGAAGCATGGTACTGGAAAAGAAACAGGGGCCAAGGATATGGGGACAGGATTGTAAGGAGGGGTCAGAGCTCAAGGAAGATATCCCAGGTATAATATAAGAAGCTTTCAAATTTTTGAATTTTCACTATTAGAATATTCCAAAGTATAATAATTTATAAGTTCCTGATATGATTTGACAGTTGCTGCCCCCTCAAAATTCTTACGTAGGAAGCTAATATCCAATGTGGTAATATTAAGAAGGCTTTTTGAGAAGTTATTAGGTCATGAGGGTTCTTCCCACATGAAGCAAATTAGTGCCCTTATACAAGCTGTCTCTTTCAGCCAAATGAGGATATGGTGACAAGGTGCCATCTCTGAGGCAGAGAACAAACCCTCACCAAACTCCTAATCTGCCAGCACTTTGATCTTGGATTTCTCAGCCTTAAGAACTATGAGAAATTTTTATTTATACATTACCCAGTCTAAGATATTGATTACAGCAGCCTGAAAGGACTAAGTTCCTTACCCTACCGTTTATGTTTTATGTTATTGATGGTACTCAAGAGTCTTCCTTCCCAATATCCCTGTAGACAGTAGAGACTGTACTGTTACCTAATTAATTCTAGGTTTCCAAGGACATTTACAGTAATTATATATTTTTTAAAATAAATTTTATTTTATTTTATCCTATTCCACCCCTCAAGCCCTCTTCCCTATGAGCAAAAAGCTTTGTTTCCATTTCCTCCTTCTATTTTCACTTTTTCTTTTCCCTTCTTTGTTTATAGTAATTATATACTTACATTAAAGTTATTAATAAGAGCATTTTTAATCATTTATCAACCTGAAGTTTGATGGATCAAATCCAATTTATAAACTGTCAAAGCTGAGAATCATTTGCTTGGCAGAAGTTAATGCAATCATAAAAACAAAGTATTTGAAAACTGAACAAAATATAAAGTGCTTCTTATATTCTTTTTTATAATTTTGATAAATTCCACTTCAAAAGTCAGAAACTAGGATTATATTTGATCCAACTGATTATAAATAACATTGAACAATATATTTAGTCAGTGTGTCTTGTGCCAGGGAAATAGCTGTAGTATCAATTATCATTTTACTCCATAGATTATTTTGTATTAAGAATAATCTATAAGAGAAATTATACATTACTAGATTTCTAGGAAAACTGCATCATTAATAAATGATTTAGTACTAAAGGGCTGAGCAAATAGCATACTAATAAGCACTTCTAAACACACCAATGCTATAAATAAAAAGCCATATAAACTAACAAGCAAAAATTCTCTCTTTTAGACAATCAAAATCTCTTTGTCTCACCTTGGCACCATATTTGGAATAATTCATTTCTGTTAGTGTCACTGGTCGTAATTTGTCAATATCTCCAAAGGCTACCCCAGGTACATAGAGGGCACAGACAATGTGAACCCATCTATAAGGAGAGAAGATTATGATTTTTTATCAGATCCTTTCACGAAATTCTCACATGGAAAACAAACATATAAAAAAAGTGCCATCTTAAAATACTACTGAAAGAATTATTTGATCAAATGTTAAAATCTTAATTTCAGACATGTAAATGAAGAATATTGAACATCAACAGAATGACAGCAGTTACAGAAAACATGCCTGAGTTAAGCATTACTTTTTCAGTAGCTTACCCAAAACTCAGATTTAACTATAATTGCCCTTCACTAAATTTCACTGTACAGTGCTCTTATCTGTTATGCTTAAACATTTGCATAAAACTACTATTCAAGGGAAACAAAACATTTTCATATGCATATGAAAAGTATTCACAGTCATTGCTATAAGCATTCGAGAACTAAGGATTCTAATTTAAGAATTAAGGATTCTAATTTAAGAACTGTAAGGTTACTCTGCAGTAATTAGATAAAATTGTTCTTTATTGTTATTCTTCCAAAAGCTGTCATGTAATCCTTAAGGATATATTTTAAAATATGTTTTGATGTGCAGTTTAACTCTTCCCAGGTTCAAAGCTGATCACTGGAAGAAGATACAAAACAAACATAATAATAGAAGGCAGTCACATTTTCATTCATCTTATCTGCTCACCAAACAATGCATGTACTAAAATTTATATGACCCAAATACAAATATATTTTTAAAGTCTGAATGATGCTGTAACATTAAACAAAGAATTTCCCATTTCAGTAGACTTTTAAAAATTTAAGAACTGGTTCCAATTTCATGTTTTTGAAATTGATCTGAACCACTTTTAATATGTTAGACACTCCTTCTGTTTGTTTACAACCAATGTTGAATCACTGTCTTTGAAATTTAAGTAGATCTATCACTTCTATAAAAAAGGGGTAAAAATTAGATAGCAAGTCTCTATTGACCTTGTGAATATATTAATAACAAATTCTGCTTTATCCCAGATGAGAGGCTGTGAAGAGGACATGGTTCTGGTTTTATAATATGAGTTTTAAAGAACTAAGAATCACTGTATAGAGGCACTAAGGAAAAGTTACAAATCTTTTAAAATATTATCGTTTAATAGGGGAAAAAATCCAAGGTTTTGAGATTTTCTTGATTGAACATTTTAATCCAACCTCTCTAATGCATTCTGTGGAGTTCAATATAAAGATACAGATCTTCAACAAGCAGCCGCTTTCTCAATTTAATTTGTACAGTTTTTTCATGCTCCACTGGTGTATTAAATGTCGCTATACTCTGTAGGAGTTAGTTTTTGATAAATCCAACAGCTGGCTGCTTGCTTCATACTGACCTTCTTAAAATGTTTTAGAACAAGCCATACAAGTACTGTAGATTTAAACTGCTATTTCAGTGTGATTGGTACACAGGCGCATCATTTCATCTAACCACTCATGTAAGGCTACCAACTTGAATCCTTATTAACATACATATCAAAGTAAGTGAAAATTGCTGCTAAGACAATTTTGGTCACTTTCAATACCTGTATATACTTTTTTATGTGTTTAGCAACACATATTTTAGAATTTTGTAATTAAGTCAAATCAGGAAATAAAAATCAAAACAAAATCTTCCTTGTTACTTTACCATCCATTTTGCTTGGAGCTATGATGACAGATGTTGATTGGGGAAAGGAGCAGAAAAATAAACATCACATAAAACCACCACAAAACAGTCAAAATTGTCATTCTATCATAGAAACTACTTATAGATTCTTTTAAATGCATACATGTTAATAAGGCAGACCAAGCAGAAATGCATTTCTCAAAAGATTCATTTCAGACTGGGAACTATATTAATCAATCAAGTGATTATGAAATGCTTTATATTTATAGTTCCTTTATAATATACATTCATTTCCAGTATGTTATTTTCATTCCTTCACTCAATAAACAATTCCTAAGTATCTAACAGGCAGGGAGCACTCACTACAAAGGCATATTAGAAGTTACAAAGATGTGTCAAATCTGCTGTCTTCACTCCTTGAATGTTAGCTAGAAAGGAATAAAAGCCTTAAGTTTTCTCACTCTGCATATCAATAAATAGGCTCAAATGGATTAAGTAATTTCAAAATACAATATGGCTAGGGATAACTCTGACTTAAAAGAATTAAATGCTGCCTTTTACTGCACTTAGTAGTGCTTACTTTGAAAAATCAAGGAATTTAGCTCAGAGCTTTCTTCATTTCACAACAGACTAGAGGACAACCAACAAAGACAAAAGGAAGGTATGTCTAATATTTCCTATAATCAGGTCTATAAGATCACTTTAAGTTGGGGTAAAATATATGAAATAAAAATGTAATCATAAGAATGTCTTTATGGTTTTCTCACATTACATCACAACATTTTCTATGTAAAACTTGGGGATCACATCAACAATAGAAGAGAAAAAAATTCCAATTAAGCCCACTTGATAGAAGTCAATTTCAAAAATTAAGCTTTTTCACTCTTTCTATATATTATTCTTTCTTTTCTCCTGCTTTCCATTTAAAGCTAGAATACTAAAGGCTTGTCAAATTTTCTTGACTTTTTATGTCTTGAATCAAGCTGATATCGCATCCAGCAAAATTATATAAAAGCCTATAATTTCCATACTTATATGTGACTGTAAACATCAATATACAATATTCAAACAGTAAATAACAGATATTTTTGCCAGGCTGCATATCAAGGGACGTATCTATATGTGTCATAGCCACCATAGCTAATAAAAATATTTCCCAGTAAATCTCAGCGGTTAAAGAGGCTTTCCTTGTTCTTCACTCAGACACAATAAATAATCGGTCTTCCTCCCTGCTCTCATTTGTAGCCTACTGGCATTTACTTCATGCCAAGCAATCAAATGAAGTTTTTAACTCAGAAAATCATAAGTAGAAGAACAGAGGAGTCAAAAGCAGACATATCATAAAGCAGCATATGAACACAATATAATCAGGACATCAACCTTCCAGCATCTGTCTCCTTGAAAATTCCATCCTGGTTTGGACACAGTTCACAGCTAGGAGAAACACCACATTTACAAGCATCACAAAACCAAGGTTCAGTGGAGTTTTCAGAAGCTGAACTCATAATAGAGTCACTCTCTCCATCAACTCCATAACAACCTAAGAAAAAAAAAAAAGGAAATAAATACTTATTATTTTGTTTTGTTACCAAGGATCGAACTCAGGACCTTGTGCTTGCAGACGCAGGTGGTGGAACCACTGACCTAATCCCCGACCCATAAATACTTATTATTAAATAGGGTTTCTTTTTTAAATTAGTATTTACAAAATACTCCTCCCCCGGAAATAAAAGGGGTGCAATGAAGAGAAAAATTCTGAAAAGGCAAAGATTTATAAGAATGATATTAAAATAGAAATAAAATCATTTTACAAAAATGTTTTTACCAACATAGTATAAGAAATGAAATAAATGATATTTTTAAATAGTTTTAGGCACACCAGAAAAGAATTAAAAGATGGGGAAATTTTTATAATTTTTTAAAAATTTTAAAATAAAAATGAGTTATTAAAAAGAAATCATATTAATAAATTATTGATTATTAAATATGTACTAAGTTACCTTTGTAAAGGTACTAGAATATAAACAGAAGATGAAGTTCATGCAAAAAATGCACAAAATGCCTTTGATATAATTTTGGATGAAGATATTAACACAAACTCATAACCAGAAATGTAAAATATCATTAAAAGGAAAAGACTACAGAAACATGTATGTGCACTGGGGATTTAGCTCAGTGGTATCACAGGAGCAAGGTCTTGAGTTCAACTTCTGGTACCCCAAAAAAAGGAAACATATGCACACATAATCAAAGCTACAGAACGATGTGAAAAGTTCAGACTACAGTTAAGTTTCATTCCCAATTAAGCCTACCTATATATGAGGTATTTAGTAACTATATAAGGTATTTTGTCTCTTTAAAAATTTATAATTCTTTTGTCTTCTATGAAAATTTATCCATAACTGAAATGAATAAAAACAAGACATCATTCTCTTTTCCTTCTTTTAATTCACTAAACTTTGATTGTCAGAGAGAAGTTAAATTTTTCAGGCAGATTATACGATAAAAATCTTTAAATACTCTCATAAACATACAGATAACTCTACATAGATCTTTACATTTTTGAGTATACTTCAACTACTTCCCAATTACTTAAAAAGTAAGAAGTTTTCTTATTAACTCAAATATTTATGTCTGGAATTGCAAATTATATTTAAAGTTACTGGGCTTCCAGATGTGCCTAAAATTTTTATAAAACCAAAAAAGATTTGATTTTGAGCTTAAAAAGGGTAGATTATACGTCAAAGGTTTAAACCAATCAGAATTTCAGGTAGGACTTCACTGCCAACATCTTAGTAAGATAAAATTCTCATCATTAAAATTTCTGATGCTTAGTACTATTCATAAACTCAGCAATAATGATTTCTTAGTGCTTGGCAAACCAATCAAACTCACTAGTAAGTGATGTCACATTAACCTGAAGAACTGTTTGTCAACATTAAGGTACCCAAAATCTGTATTTGTACCCACAAAATATTGACAAACATAAAATCTAATAAAGAACAAATGCAAAGTTCTTGAGAAATACGTTTAATCAGACTATTTAAAACCATGCTGTACTATTGATACCTTACATAAAAAACACTTCTCTAGAAAGAGTCAGAACTAAATCGTGTTCTTTTTTCAAAATGGTACTAGACACATTCCAATTTCATATAATCCAACTTGCTTTCTTCTGAGAAGAAAGACACTATCATTATGTCAAAATAACCTTCAATCCAGGTGTGGTAGCATAAGCAAGCCTATAATCCTAGCACTCTGGGAGCCTGAGACAAGATGACTCCAAGTGCAAGCCCAGCCTGGGGAATTTAGCCATTTAGTGAAATCCAGTCTCACTATTTAAAAAGGAAGGATGGTCTGTGCTCTAGACCAAAGTTTTAGCACTTTATATACATTCTACTGCTTTTCAACTTACAGCCAAACATATTTTAAAATCTTTCTTCCACACAAAACATTAGTACAGAAAAGTTTTTCTTTCATGTAAGTGTAAAATAAATTTAGACACGTGAAGCTCAGTTCACATATGTTAATTATATTTTCAAACAAGTAAACGTGGAAAACATGCTTCTACCACCATGTAATGTGGATGTAGTTCAGTGCGAAGGCCCTGGGATCAATCCCTAGTACTGAAAAAAAGAAAAAATTCCTTCAGAGAAATCACTTTCTGCATATATACTAACAAAATAGACTGTGACTTAATTCTAGTCCTGATGTATCACCTTTAGATTTGGACATTTCTGCAGGCTACTAGGTCTTATCATTACTTTTCAAGATGGCCTACTTCCAAAGATAACTGATTATCAACCATCCAAGATACTTTCACCAGGCATACTCATTATTTATAGAACTAGACAATGCAATCCTAAAACTCATAAGGAACCAGAAGAGACCTAGAATAACAAAAGCAATTCTGGGCAACAAGGGCAAGACAGGGAGCATCACAATCCCAGACTTCAAATTATGCTACAGAGCTACAGTGATAAAAACAACATGGCATTTACAAAAAAAGACTCAAAATCAATGAAACAGTATAGAAGATACAGAAACAACTGCAGGCCCACTCAGCTATCTAATCTTTGACAAAGGGGCCAAATCCTTTCACTGGAGAAAAGATAGCCTCTTTAATAAATGATGCTGGGAAAACTGGATATCCACATGGAAAGGCTGAACCTAGACTTGTATCTCTCACCAGGCACTGAACTAAAATCAAAATAGAACAAAGATTTAAATATTAAAACAGAAACACTTAATCTGCTGGAAGACAAAAATAGATAAAACTCTTAAAGACACAGGTGTAGGCAAAGACTTTATGAACAAAACCCTGGCTTCACCAGAAATAATACTTAGAATCAACAAATGGGATCACATCAAATTAAAAAACTTCTGTACAGCAAAGGAAACCACCAACAGAGTGAAAAGATAAGCTACAAAATGGGAAAAAATTTTGCCAGCTACTTCTCCAATATAGTATCTAGAATATATCAAGAACTCAAAAAAATTAAGCCCCCCCAAATGTAAAGATCCAATTAAAAAATGGGCATATGAGATTGAATAGACACTTCTCAGATGAAGAAATATAAACAGCCAATAAATACACAACAAAATCTTCAACACTGGTGGCCATTCAAGAAATGCAAATAAAAACACTGAGATTCCATCTCATTCCAGAAAGAATGGCTACCATAAAGAAATCAATCAATAAAAAATGCTATCAAGATTGTGGGAAAAAAGAACCCTTTTCCATTGTTGGTGGGAGGGTAAATTGGCATACCCACTATGGAAATCAATATGAAGATTCCTCCAAAAACTAAAAGTAGAGGTTCCATTTGACCCAGATATTCCCCTTCTAGGTATCTTCTCAAAAAAGTTAAAGACATCATACCATAGTGAGGTATACATATGCATGTTTATAGCAGTGCAATCCATAATTGCTAAATCTTGGAAACAGTCTATTTGTCCATCAAGAGATGAATGGATCAAGAAAATGTGGTATTTTTACATAATGGGGTACTACTCTGCCATAAAAAACATGAGTCACCTGTAGGAAAATGGATGTACCTTGAGCCTATAATGTTAACTGAAGTAACTCAGATACACATGCTTAAATATTGTATGGTTTCCCTTATATGAAAAATTCAATATATATATATATATGAAATAAAAGATAAGAAAAAGAGAGAAAAAATGTAATTCAACGTGGACAATATATCTAAAAGTGTACCTTGACTTAGTACAATTGTCTTAGATTCTTTATGTGTTCTCTGGCCTATTAGTCTGGTTTTCAATCTATATATATGATAATTTTATAAAGTCTTATAAGATAAAATGAATCTGATGCTGGAAAAATCAAAGGGAGGTGGAAGGAAAGGAAAAAATAGAATTGAAATATGTTACGTACATGTACCAATAAAAGTAGAAAAAAAACTTACTAAAATAAAAGTAAAATATTAGTGCCAAATTCTAAGGGGCACCAAAACTTCCAGTAAACTGATGACATTCAAAAACCCACCTCAAGTGCCATGTATCAGTGATGATCATCTATCAGAAGACTTCACACGAGTAAGTTTCTATGCATCCAATGTAATATCAGGTTATTATTTGAACTGGTTATATGCTAAGCAGGCAGTCTAAACTGGAGAATAATCTCTCATAATCATCAAAAGATATCCAAAGTAAAATAAATAACGATATAAATACTCAGTTAAACAAATCACCCATAACCAAAAAAAGAACCATATACAGCTAGTAAATAATTTTAAACTACCAATATTAATTCACTAGATGTCATTATAGGTCAATAGTTACTTGTATGTGTATTTTTTTCAAACATTACCATTATTCAACATAAACCATAATTAAAATAGCCTAACAGGCAGAAAACTAAAAATTGGGTTTGCAACTATGACTTATATAAACTGTCACAAATAAACTCTTTTTTTTTTTTTTTTGGTACCAGAGATCAAACTCGGGTCCTTGCACTTGTGCAGCAGGCAGTGAAACCACTGAGATAAATCCCCAGCCAACAAATAAATTCTTAAGCACTGCTATCCTTATTCTATTCAAGTTTTATAACAATGAAGTTTAATGTAATCTAAAAATCATATAAAAGAATGCTAAACAAGAAATTTTAAAGTAACTCAATTATTACATGCAAGATAAGCAAAGGAATCAAACTTCAATTATTTTTCAATATTAAATGTGGTTGGCAATTGATCATCTTCATCACTTATGTTTAGATATAAAATTTTTAAACGTGAAATCATAAATTTAAAAGGAAAAATAATTTTATCCTTTGAACCAGTTATTATTACCAATAAGAGAAAAATCTTTCTGTAAAGGCAGCAGTAAGCAAAATGTTCTACTCAAAGAAAAAATTATAAAACAGTAAGCACAATCTATTTTGTCAATGGGCTATGCAATATCAAAGGGGGGGAAATCTATTTTCTTTACAAAATAATGTTCCTTTTAAAACAAATTATTTCAAACTAGAGAAAAATCTGTATTCAGACAAAGTAGACAATTACCAAGATAATAAATCTT